CAATACTATTAGGAAATGTATCAGTAATCTTAAAAATATTGTATTTATTGTAATTTACTGATTTTTATTGGGATTAATTTGAACAAAAAAATCTATAAAATCCTAATTTTAGTCCACCCGAGTTGCACGTCCGCGTGCATTTTGCATACAAAGTATCAATTAGGTCATGCGACACCGGACGGACATTTCTGAGATTAGGAACGTTTATCGCCGACTCTTGTATTCGCGTCGGACAGGATATCCTTCGATGGGGGGAAAAGTGGAGAATTCCTAAAAAGGGAAGATACAAGCAAAAAAACAACACTACTATCTGTTTCCAATTTCCTGTCGAGTCGCATTCTTCCCTCGATTACCGCAAGACGTGATTGAGCCGGCAACAACCGGAGAAGACTTCTCTTCTTCGCCCAGAGACGACGAATTACGCAAGAACCATTGTGTTTTCGTTCGATTATTGTTATTGTTTGCGAACGCGAGCTTCTCTCTTCTCCGCTTTTCATTTCCTTGCCAAATGCGCGCATCGATTACGCTCCCATCGGCAATTACATCTCGTGTTGCATCTCGAAATTGGATCGAAACGAATTTCACTTCCTGCATTCAGAAACTCTCCTTCTTTTCGTTGCGATGCATTAGGTTCTTTATACGTAACATCCTTCCTAATTTTATATTCCACTACAGGAAAACATGCAAATTACAGCTAAAATTATAATACAATTACATTTCACTTATGATCTAGAAATCTAATTCAAACCAATTTAATCAAATTTTTTACTTATTAAAATATGAAAATTACAGCTAAAACTTTAAGGAATCAATTGGGGCAGCTATGGTTTTAATACTGGAATCCGAATGCGAATTATGAACGCTCTAAAGAGCCGAAGGAAGATAGCGATCGAAACGAAATTTATGAATATTTTCGCGTTACCTCTATGCGTATGCAAATTGCGGAGGGTTTTCAACGCTTTCTTGCCTTTAATAGAGGCAACAATAATAACGGCAGGTTTTGTTTCGTTATTGTTTTTTTGTTGTTGTTGTTGTTGTTGTTTTTGGAAATCTCAAGAGAGCGAAATTAACTTATATCCAGGAGAAATAATAACGCCGTGGAAACTTTCTCTCGCCATTAGTTTACGTATGGAAATCGTATTATTGCACGCAAATGCGGTCGTCGGATGCAATCTTTACACAATGTGTCGCATATTTAAAAGTTTACATTACGTTTTATTTCTATCAGGAAGACGTAGTAGATTATCAAATGTTTAGTCGTCCTACACTGGTTGTCAATTTTGTGATTATCAACGTCGACGTTGTTTATGGATGTCGAGAATTTTGGGGGGAAAAAATGAACGAAGAAAATAAACATGTGAAGACCATATGGGTACAGGCTGTGACGTGGAATTATCGATGATGTCGGGATGGAAATTTTTAACGAGGAAACAAGAAGAAAAATAAGACAACAAACAAACGAGATATAAATTTTCGGGGGTCGAAAGCAAAAAATAAAACTAAAGAGGGGGCGCGTTCGAGGCCCACGACCTTCCTTTATTATCTTCATAGCCCGTCTTCGATCTAGCTTGAACCCAGACTGTCTGGCCGCGCGCAAAACCAATGACTCACGTCAATAATAATAATGATAAACGTAATAATAGTCGAGTGTGTGTGCAGCAATTAATGAATGCACAGAATCATTAGATCCATAAACAGAGACGTAAACCTCTTTACCGCCGTGCGTTTATCGGCAGTTGGCGGGAATTTCAAATAAATTAAATTCGAATAACATGGCGATTGTTGCACTTGTCCGAACGCCAATTAAGAACGCGTCAATTTCAATAATGACTTAACGAAAAAAAAACAACAATTGCAGCTTTAAACCGTTACAAATTGCATTCAATTAACGCTGTTCAAATACGAAATAAACATAATTACAAAAAAAAAACTATTTCTTTTTTAAATTTAATGTTTTACTTTTCTCTTGGAAAGTTTTTGCTTCTTCATTGAAATAATATCGTAAAACGTAAAAGGAAATTGGGATGTGCGTTCATTGATTCGTAATATATTGGTAGTAAAGTTCACGAATAAAAAAAAAAGTTTATGTTTTTTTTACTCATTTTGTCGCTGACGAAAGGTTAGATTACGTGCACTGATTTTGATACGTAAAATCTTTACAGTTTTTAGTTAGTTGTAAAAGTAACTTGATAAATGTATGTTGTTTTTCAAATATCTCAATTTAGTTGTTTGGTGAAATCTTAAGAAATCACCGACGTAGCGATTGAGTTACATAAACAATTGATATCGAACATTGGCGACGTTGCCACACAGTGCATTTATGGCATGACTAATAAACTCGATCCGATCTGTTAAATAGTTCTGGTCATAATTAGTTCGGTGTTGTTAAAAGAAAACGAATGCAGTTAAAACAAATATAACCAGAAACGAAAAGTTTCTTTTTTTCAAGCGAATTTGCCGGAATCAAGTTGATCCAGTTTCGGTTTCCATTTCTAACCGGACGCACTTCCGATTTTTTTCCAGCGAAAACTAGACGACTGTGTCGATTTAATAATACGCATTATGTGCGAGTCGCGTAATCATTACGTGTAAAGAGATCTGAGTTTGAGTTAATTGAAATTGAGTGAAAAAAAAACGAGAAGTTACAATTATAGTAAAAAATAAATATATTTGTAGATCTGTGAAGCAATTATGCAGAGGTAATTGTAATGTGTAATTAATTAAAATGAAAATAAAAAGAACTCTTCTCTTCTCTGGGAGAATCCTATGAATATTGTAATTAAAAGAAAATCGTCGAAACAAAACAAACGAGTGAAGAAACAAAACTCGCCGAGGAGGGCTATCGCGATTCCATTGTGGTTTAACATTTTCTCGTCTTTACACGGATATTCCGACGCTCGTTACGCGTGCGAAGAGCTATTGTCTTCAATACTCTTAACCCACTGACAGGTCTTCATCCTCCTCTTGGCCTTTCCATGTTTTCAAAGTTTATAGTCCTTCGAGAAGAAGAAACAAAGAAAACGCATGGAGTTTGGGGGGGGGAAAACTAAAGGGCAGCGAACATCGATTTTCGTTAATTAGAAAATCGGGGGAAATGGAACTGCACACGTGCTGCGAATTGTAAAGAGTAAGGTCAGGTCGGTTCGAGTTCAAGGTCTTGCCATATTGATTATTATTACCGCTACTGCTGCTGCTGATGTCGCTCTGATCTCCTCTCTACACGTGTTTACACAACCCGCGGATGCTCAATGTTTACCAAATTTCTAGTAAATATCCCCATCAAAATGAACGAGTTTCAAATTCGCATTAACTCCCGCCACGATTTGCGCGACATCAATCAATCAATTTCAATACTAAAAACAACAGTTAAATGTCATATTTTTTTGTGGTAATTTAATCAATGTCAATATTAAAATGACATTTTGTTTATCTTAACTGTCAATTAATGATTCGATGTTAAATTTGCACTTTATTGGCAAATTACGTGTAATTACAATGGAAGAGTCGTCCGGGAAATTAGCAGAGGTCTAAGATGGATGGAAGGAGAGGAGCGTAGATGCAATTAGACGTTAATTAAAGTTAACGAACGGATAATTGTATTAGCAATTCTAAATGTAAAAGTGTGCTACGGTGCTTTTGTCCGTTGGATATGTGTATCGAAGATAATGATCATCGGCGTATGTAAATAGCGCAAGATCCAACATCCAGCAATAATTAACACGTTGAATGGCATCAGTTCGATGGCAAATGGTTTTCTAGTCGCCGTCGATGACGTGAAAGTTATTGTATTAGCTTTTTGCTTACACCAATTGACATATCTGTCAACGATACTTTTGTTTCTACTCTTGACATTGTTCTTAGATGCAACGCATTTCGCATCAGCGAACAGAAATAGACAGATGTCAAAATTGAAGTTTAATAAGATTCAAACTTTATTTCTAAACAATTAACGTTTTTGAACGTAAATGATGGATTATACTTCGGCCCAAAAGTAACTTAAAAATAACTTAACCAATAAAACAAATAGTAAAGTATGAACTCAATGGAGTAGATTGCATTGAGGTTCGTGTGCATCGGCGTTTGTTGTTCACGAAATTGTCGGATAGAGGAGTAAGAAATATCCGTTTTACTTCTGCATCGAGGCCAGTATTAAAATTAGAACGCATTAAAGTTTTGGAGAGCGCCGCCAATCCGGAGGGAATTTTAATGGATCTTCAATAGGTTTTTAAAGCCGACTACCCTCCCCGCAGATCCGCTGCGTATCCATTTAAATACTGGCACTAATAACAAGAGTAATAATAATAATAACTAGGCGAGTTCACTAAGTTTTGTAACGGGATAAAGCTTTCATATTCACTACACACACCGCTCGAGAGTGGTTTTTGCGTTTGCATCGAAATCGATTTTACAAAATGTTATTACAATTAATTTCCAGTTTGAATATAGGAATGATCGATAATTTCTATCTTAATTAATAATCTTCGTTAATTATTGTTCTGATTTTGTTGAATTTAACAAAATTTCGTTGAAATCAGTTAGGAATGAGGTGAAAATGTTTTCGAGCAATGGTGACAATGTGTCGAAATTTATAGACCATCACCGAAATTCTTCAACGGTTAACTGATTCCTCCGTCTGTTGCGACTCGAAACCAAAAAAAACATAAAAAAAGAAATCTGCACATTGCGTGTGCTTTACGAAGGAAAGAATATCTGGAGTAGAACCGCTCGGAGAAGAGCGTATTTCGACACACAATATTTTTTTGGTTTGGGATGTAGAAAAATCCAAAATAATGAAGAAACAAGAGCGAGACAAGACCTCAATTAGCAGCACGACCTTGCCTTGGTAACCAGATATGTCGTAAACGCACTTTTGTTTTTTTTTTTCGTACGCTTAATTTACGTCTCTCCGTGCACATTTCGGCCTTCGTTGATGGTCATGTTTTTTTTTTGACATTTCTTTGTTTTCGTTACTCATTTTGTTAAATGTCTTCTGTTTTCAGGTGTTTGTGGAGATGTCGACGGCAGTGAGCGGCGGTCACCACTCGGGCGCAGGATCCCTGAGTCTGATGTCCTGCGTGAGGGAATCGTCGCCCCCGCAAGACGCCGCCCCCGAATACGAAACAGAGAAAAACGGTAAGTTTTACATATTTTTTTTTCTTCTTCCATTATTCATAATATATCTTATATCCGTTCGTTCTTTAAATCGCTTATTACAAAACCGCCGCTTTCTAAATACACACACACAAAAATATAATAACAAAAACGAAACAAACGAAAAGCGGAGAGAAACAGTCGAATTGATGATTTCATTCCAACGCACACGCAATGTTCCTTCGCCTTTCTCGTGACTACTATTATTATTATTATTAAATTCATATTGTCCCAAATTTTTTTTACACAGAATAAATCCTTGTAACCGGATATAAATGTCTCTCGCAGAGTTTTCTATTATTGATGATCGTTACATCATTCCACTTAATTTCATTTATTACTCTTTTAAAATCAATGAAAATTTCTTTTTATTTGATATTTAGTTATTATAATTTTATTATTGAAAGACGCAAATTACTAATGTATTTAGTTACTTTTTGTTTGTTTGATTATATCATTAAATTATTGATGCGACATCTGTTTCAAACAATAATACTAATATGATATATGAAATTAGCACGTAAATATGGTTGCAGAAATTTATTATTGCCTTGCTTTTAATGGACATTTATTGTAAATTTGTTTCAAGTTCTTTTTGTAAATAATTGTTTTCAGTAATTAAAAAATATTATCAATATTGCATGCAAATGTGGTTGCAGTATTTGATTTCATGCATCTCCTCGTGTTGCGCAACGGCCTTCTTCGTCGGTATAGATTACGCAACAAGACGTTTTTTTTCCATATTAATTACCCCAATTAGAATAAGGTAATTAATCCTAATTATTTCCCCTATTCGTATGTCGAAGGTGAGGTGAGCGCTACCAACGCAACGCAACACCTTTGGCAATTCTCTTTTGCATTACAATATTCATTTCCTGATGAGATTACTGCAATCACGAATTAAACATTTGCATGCAATTTCCTATTGTGATATATTCCGAAATATTGAAACTTATAATTTGACCGTGTTAAATAATCCAGTCACCTGAGCGGCTTAACGTCTATCGATTAGTTCTAGATATCTTTTGTTTGGTGGCAAAGGGGTGGGTAGAAAGAGAGTGAGAGAGAGAGAAAGAAAAAATAGGACTAAGTAAATAATGAGGATTTTCGATGAAAAGTGTGTCAGGCTGGAGGAACTCGACCTCAAGATAGCATAGCGCATTTATGCATGCACATGAAACTTCACATTAATTTACAAAACGCAATTACTGCACTCATCTAGGACAAACTACGATGTTATTTTTTCCTACTTCTTCTTCTTATTCATCTTAGACGAACGCTGACTCAAGCAAAATATGAAAGTTATTAGTTATTTATCTATGATATTTAAGTGTATTTTCGAATTCTAAATACTATTATCAAGAAACATTATTAATTTGTTTTATTTAATACTTCTGATTGCGAATGATTATTTTTTTATATTAAAAACTAAAGTTTTACCAACTGCTTATTATTTTGAAAAAATATCAAATAATACCAACTCTATTTGTATATGTCAAATTTTACACGTAAATATGGTTGCAGTAATTTAATGAATTAATTTCAAATTATATTTATATTACTTTTTTTTATTGCCAATTTGTACAATTATATGTAAAACAAAAGAAAAAGTAGTAAAATTTAATTAAATATGTTTCTGACAAAATAAATATTTTGACAATATTTCTTACAAATATAATTTTTGTTTTAAATACTTCAATTTTAGCTAATTCCTACTTTTATGTAATGAATACGGCATATTTCTCTTCCCACTTATTTTATTACAAATATTATTGAATATTATATTATAAACGCGACATCTGTTTTCAATAAATAATATTATTAAATTGTTGGAGTATGTAAATTTGGTTGCAGCGATTCTTCATATTCAATATTCATATGTATGCTAATTCATTCATAAAAAAAACTATGAAATTTTGACATTCATTTATGATAATTGCCAACTTAAAATTGATGCGTATATTTACATCAGATACCAACTGTTAAAAATAAAAACAAAATTTATATGGCATTGATACTGCACGTTTTGTTGACTGTTGACATTTTGAATGCTTGGCACGAACGCGAGGACAGTTGTTTGCGATCGTGCGTGCATTTGTACATACACAAAATTGTCTGGAATTGTAATTCATCGAAGTCGTTGTTTTTGTTATTAATTTGTTGCAGCTCTTTAAAAAGTTTCTTCACGCGACGCACGATAATTGGGAACGAAGATTCGAATTTCGGGACGTGTGAAAAACGCTTTCACTTTCGTTGCACATTTTAGGGGGAGCGACGAGAATAAACGTTCCGACGCATCGATGACACTCGCATGTTTTCGTTTAGAATTTGAATTTTGAGAAGACGCACTTCCTCCTCGTCGCCTGAATCACGTTTAAAAATAGGACTGTTTTGGAGATGCTTCCGCATTTGAAAATAATCACTCTAAATACGTTTAAAAATAGCAATTACTTGCTACATGCCAAGTAAAAACTTCAACGCACTTAGAAACATTGCGGTCTTCAACGACCATACTTGTGTGTAAATTTAGTGCGCAGGGGATTCCCCGCAGTATTTCATGAGCGTTAAATAATAAATGGAGTAGCAGTCGGGACGGGGGGAAAATCTCTTGATTTACGACTGGAGATTCGCGACACGCGAATTTATTTATGCCCACTTCCATTAAAACCCAAATGTATAATACAATACGTTTTGCCGCGTTTAAAAATTGAAACCGCAGCAATTACATCGTGCATTATCGTCGCTAATGCGCGCATTAACATTTCATTAATTCAAACACAAAATTATACTACAAACACCTAATGTAGACGTAAAATTTTAACAGTTTAATTGTTTAAATTTGTTATTTCTAATTTGAGATTAGATTGTGAGATTTTGGAGAATTGTTTCATTTTTTTAATTTGTCTAATTATTAATTAATACGCCATATTTAGTGTTGCTGAGACTTCAGATACAATTTAAAAACATAACCTGAAAAGAAAGAAAATGACAGCAGCTAAACAAAATTGTAATTTCTTTTATGACACATTGTATAATTAGTTGCATATTTGAAGAAAAACATGTTTTTTTTGAGTTTAGAGAAATTAAAAATTGTGAAATGGGAATAGTTTAGATTTTTCGGGTAACTATTTAGAGTTGAGGATTGATGGAAATGAAAAATGTTGGTAAACAATTTACTAGAACAGTACGGATGGCAGACACATGTCATTACATTCCCAATAGATGATCCAGCTGTATACAAATCGACAATACTCTCTCTGCAACATGCATTCCCTGTCAAGATAAAGTCCGAATGGAAGAGGAAGAATCATTAAGAGTTGTCTAATAATAGTTCCCTCTGTAAAAGAGCGCTTCCTCTCTGAAAACAGTGCACCCACTGTGCCCCCAAAATGCACGTATATAAATACACCCGAGCTTGTAAGGCGCACATTTCCGTATCATCGAGAAAGCAAAGAACCATCGGAATGGTTCAAATGAATGCGCGCATCAAAACATGCTGTAAATATCTTCTAACCGAATGCCGCCTCTATATTTCCGAACGAAACACACACGCATTACTTTTATGTCCATATTTGAACATCCGCCTACGACGACCACTTCTCTTTCTCTGCTCGTTACCATTACTACTACGTTTATACAGTTACGCCGTAAACTTTAGAAAACAGGCGCAAAACGTTTCCATGGAAACGCTTAAACACAGTGTTTCGCTCGAAGTAAATCAGCGTAATAAATATATATAAATAAATTGGTTTGCATGCGATGTCCATTTTCGGATAATCCCGTTTTATGTAATTACAGCATTTGGGGCCAAGGCGAAACCGAAGAGAATTACATGAATTGAATTGAAAAATACAGCAACTATTAGGCTCTTGTCCAGTGGCGGCGCGCAAAGAATTTTTCAAAAAAATTACCAAAAATAATTAATGTGTATCAACATTTTTCTCTGATATCTACGAAATCGAAAGATTTAAATTCATTATTAATGAAAATTTAAATAGGAATTCCAATGAACATGAGTAACATATAGTAGTTTGAATTAGGTTTATGAAGATGTTTTGTATGGCCACTATGGTGGCGCAGTCATCAAAAGTTAGTTCAACGGTAGCTCTTAGCGAATCTTTGTTTTTTTTTATATAAATTAGGCTTAAATTAGTGCTGTAGTGGCGCTAACAGAGGTACTCAAAATACATTATATATTACATAATATATAATACATTAAATTATTTTTACACTTATTGCACCCTTTTTACTCACGAACCGTCACTGCACGTGAATTTCGTATTTGCATTATCTATGGGCCATCTTCACAATACAACGTTAATCAATTCTCCAATTAGATAAGATTCGTAAAAACGAATATATTCATGTGTTCTAGTTTATCGCTCGCTCAGATGCAAATTTAGTCGCTTTAGTCGAAATATTCAATTGTCTGCGTGGAGGGAAACAAAATGCGTGCGTTTATTTCGGTGTGAGTACTACAACAAAGGTTAAGTCACGGTTCGGTGGACATCATCAGCACCGGAAGTCGATCGACTTCTGCGCAAGAAGCATCGTTTCGCGTTACCACAATAAACAGATGATACACACAGAATCCACATCGAAATGGCTTATCGTAAATACGTGCTCGTTCGGAAAGGTAAATTCTTTGAATAATTCCCTCGAACATACTCATCATTTTTATTTTTTAATATTTCACGTACAATTTCCTTTACAATTTCGTGCGCTTATTTTAGATAATATAACAATGCTATCTAATTTGGAAACTAATTTGGATGTACGTGTTTGAAAAAAAAAATACATATTGCGTAACTTAATAATACAACAGATTTATCAAATTCGTTTATTGTTCTACTGTAATGTATCAATTTTTATTTTATTTGTAATTAAATTTACAACAATATTTTTAATGGAATTTGGTTGGTAGTACATTTGCCATTACTTCTAATTTGACGTCTCACAATAACCTTAATCTATTAACAATGCTTAGAAACAATTTGTAATAAATGTTGACGTCTTACAATAACCTCAATTCATTAATAATTTGAGAATATTGTCAAATAATTGAACTATTCAAGTTGGTGGTAGATTTTTGAACTAATGAATTTATTTGTAATTAGTAAATTAAAATCGTTAATAAATATTGCCATAACAAACAAATTATTTACTTAATGACATTTAAAACGTCAAAGAACGATTTGACAGCGCCCAGAAACAAATGAGAACAAATTTCGAATTGATTTATAATAATGTGCGTGATTGTCGTCGACAAATTCCTCTTTGAAACCCATAGAGTATTTAAGTTTAGAAAATGTTTACCCAACTTCAACGTAATTAAGATTTTGTTGGTCGTAACTGCTTTTAAATAAGTATTTTGAATGAGAAAAGAAATATATTACTGGATTAATCTTCTATAAAATATAATTAAGATAAACATTGTAATTAAGTTGGTGGGCAGTGCAGATGTCTTCACTGACTCATTTAGATGTCAGTTTTATGACATTTACTGCTACTATTTAATTAATACTTAGGAAGTTTTTTTTTGTTATTGAAAAAACATGTTTTGTAAGATATTCTGTAGACGCCTATGGTTGCCATGGAGACACAACACATGTTTGACATGAATTTGATTTGTTAATGCATCAATTGTTTTGTTGTATTTTTTAGTGAGTTCAAAGCGGAAGTTCTGGAATCCCCGGAAATGGTTTAAGCGGAAAAGCACCAAGGTGACGGAGGAAGCGGTGATAGAGAACAACACCTCGATCGTCATCGGAGGAGGAAGTACAGAAGCCCTTGAGACCACGCTGCGTAGCCGATCAACCAGCGAGCTTTCGATCTCCGAGGAGCAGACGAGACGAAGGTACGTTCTCATCAGAAGCATCCTTTTTGGACATCAAATACAAATTCTATCTTCTCACGTATCAGTATTCTGTTTCAATGCATTTTTCATACGTTTCTTTCCCAAATTCTCGCAGGAGCACCGGCGGCGGTGGCGGCACTCCCATGCATCCGGGCCTCAGCGTGTCCCACGACAGCGTATTTCACTCGCCACAATCCGGTTCGGATTTGGAATTGGACGGGGCCCAGAGCTCGTCCTCCCTCTCCATCAGCCACCAACCGACCCAACAAAACATTAGATTACAGGTAAGAGTCTAATTAAATATCAACCGTCTGTGTGTGTGTTGTAACCTTGACTACCAAGAAACGCATCTCTCTGAATCTTCACACGAACTATTTCTCAATTCTCCAAATTATCATTGACCTTCACCCGTAACTAAAAATAAAAACGAAAATTTGTTACCCCAACTGAGCAGCAAATTGAACAGGAAGAACACTTTGCAGCAGGTTAAACGGAAGATCAGATTAAGCGAGGGGAGATTAAAATTTGCAAAAATTCACACAAACACAAAGTATTATCTCCGGTTTACTTTAATGTAAATACAATTAAAATTTTGAAATATATCGATTAGATTTCCGCGTTCAATTACTTCGGTGCGCGTTAGCGATAACGCTCGATCGTAATTACACTATTGTTTTTGATACAATTGAAATGCGATTGCAGCCACAGTTCATACAATCCTACATTTACTAATTCAGATTTCAATTTATTATCGAATTTAATTTTTCGATTTAATGTTATGTTATTGTGAATATATCTAATGAAATGAAAGTTCATCAATGTTTATAATGTGGTTGATTGACAGTAAATGCAACCAACTCAACACGAAATCTCTATAACATTAAATAATAATATTTTTGAAGTTTCTAAGAAAATAATTGTTAAATCAAATATGGAGTTTTATAATATGGCGGATCTAAGAGAGTCAGCTGATCTAACTAGAAGCCATTTTTAAGTGACTTGACATTTGACACAAATATATGTCATTTCATGAGTAAATTAGTGATAGATTGTCCAAATTGATACAAATATAATGTTTTAATAAAGCAACACTCTTATTTCATCTGCAATTTTTACGACGTGTATTTTTTTGTATCGATTTATCTAGAAACTGAAGGGAAACAATGAACGCGGTTATTATTGGTCGACGTTATTACGTAACAGCGACGGTGTCCCAGATAGCCGCCGTGTTTTCTGTCATTTTCCATGTGACATTTCCACATTTGAGTTCAATTACCTGCCTCTGTTTTATTCAATAAATGTATCTCCAGAGCATAGATACACATACAAACACACACATACATGCACACGTGCGACGCTACGGGCTCTCAGATCGAATAAAAATATAAATACTGCATAAAACGAGATGCTCCTCCTGCTCTCAGCCTGATGTACTTACTTACTTACAACCCCGAAACGCTCGCATAAATCCACCGGTAACTTTATTGGGCCGTTTCCTTCAACCCACTACGTCCATATTAATGTTTCCTTGACAAACGACATCCTTTTTTTTCATTTCCTTCAAAAAAAAAAAATTTAAATTTAGTTTCTAAATTTTCAAACTAGATGGCGTCTAGTATTTATTTAAATTGCAAATAGCATTTAAGCAGTTAAACCAACATTTTTCTTCATATTGTTATTCTTATTAGAATTATTGCTACAGATTATTTAAGCAAGGATCAAACGTTTAAAATTTTCAATTTACATATTTAGTTTTCGATTTGTAAAAGTAAATTTTAAATTAAATTTACAAAATTATATATTAATAACAATATTTATTGGAACAACCTTAAGGAATATAAAACTAAATTGAATTGTACTATATATTATTACTTTTAATTCACAACAAAGAAGGAGATAAAAATAATATTAATTATCATTCTTTTTTTTTAAGTCTTATTTACAAGTTTTGATATTTTTTTTTGACTGCTAAACCTAATGACATTTTATACATCTTAATTCTGAATCGTAAAAGTAGATGGCGTCTTACGTTTATTACATGTATTCAACACAATTTACGTCTACCTTCAAGGTTACATAAAAAAAAAAACTTAAATAAAAATATCTCCGAAATTCGCAGAAACTTACTCACCGAATTTATCCACTTTTTAGATTAGAAAAAAAAAAGTTTTTGAGTAATCAAATAGAACAATTTTATACTAATTTCAAATGACAAATCGAAATTGGATAATCACAAATTTGGAGTTAAATGAGAATTTTGTTATTAATTGCGTTTTGTGTTATTATTTTTTTTTGGTTTGTATAAAATGCATCGAATAAATTAAGTCAGTGATCCGTTTAGCTTCTGACTTAAGTGGTTTTAATTAAAATATTTTAATTGAATGTTGGTCGGCGCGGATTTTTTGAATATCGACTGGCAACAGACTCGCTCACTCTTGCACACTCACTCACACACACTGTTTATTTATATGTATACACATATATGAACAGTTAGTTCTAGAGGTCGCGAGTATGGTTATATGAGTATTGTAAGTGGCCAAACGAGTTCTCGGAGTCCTTCCCGAGAGAATACCTTCTGTTGTCTCACCTTATATTCCACCAGCAAACACTTTCATAGTTATCTTTCACGTGTGCTGTTGCTGCTGCTCCGCAAATCCTCCGAAGACTTCATCTCCGAATTCGATTTGTTTCGTCGTCTGCATGCGGGTCTCTGAGTGTGCGTGTTTTTGTTTGTGCCCGAGAAGCTTTTGTTCTTCTTGTTCGAGTGTCGAACTATGGCAAATTAAAGCGAAAAGCTTATCACCATGGAATTAACGGCGGCGATGATCGAGTGACGTAATTTTGCATTTTCGTAAACTTATCAATTCCTGTTATAAAAGGAAGAGAAAAAAAAACGGGAGCGGCGAGTTTCCTGTGCGGTCGTCGCTTGGATTAAGTTGATAATTGATAGTAGTACTCGTAACCAAAAAGTTCAGTTCCTAAATGTTCATCGTTGCGAGTTGTGTTTCTTCAGTGGAAGCATGAGACTATGGGGAAGCAGCAATCACCACCATCAGCAACAGCCGCAGTCTTCGGAGAGTCACCACCAGAAGAGCTTCTTCCGACGACTCTGGGTAAATGTTCTTTGTGACGCTTCGAGACGGTGGAATGCGCTCGCATCCGTGTGGACACAAACAAAAAAAATCCCGATGATTCAGGCTCTTCTCGCAACCAATAAAACTCGATATACATATATATAAAATAATTATAATGCCCACTTACACTATGCACTTATATGGAGAGCCCATTAAAAAGCAGTTAGTCGGTTACCCAGTTTCTAAAACTATTTCTCAAATGTCAAACGGCCATCATGATCATCATCTTCGTCATCTGAATTACAACTTTCCTCAACCTGCTTGTTCTCATTACCATCGTCAATTCAACTTGACAATTACTGCTTCCTTGGTTACGCAACTAAAAACTTTCTTCTACGGAAAAACTTTACTTTCATCATTAAAACTATCGGTTTTTATTTTCCCTTCTGTCACATGTGTTCTGTCACAATTGCTTTCCGAAAATCGCACTAATCTCATTTTATTTTCACATTTTTATTATTCAATATACAAGTATATTTACTTTAGGTTTTAAACTAATAGAAAACTTATCAAAACTTTAATTTTAATAATTGTTTCGTTTAAAATTGATATATAAATTTGTGTAATTATTAATGATTTTGACATTGTCGTTACGTCATTTATGTCAATTTTTAATTCCAATTTTACTTTGTTTTTATTATGTCAGTTTTCTAATGGATTTATATAACTTTTCATATTTGATTTGATTGTTTTTTTTGCGAACCTATATGAGTGGTCGCGAGTGAAAATCAGATAAATTAACGTTTATTCGTGTATTTTAAGCTTATCTAACCGAAGGCGAAGAGGATAACGAAAATTCCGTAGAATTGCAAAGACGAGTGTAAAGCTTGTACATTTTTATCGTCAAGTAGATGCGGTTTCTGTAATTCACTAGAAATGTATTAAAGTCAACTAACTGCGTTGACTTAAATATGTAACTATAAACAAAAACAAAACGAATTTACGCATACTGATTAGTATTATATATATATTAGACCTAAAGATGTAGAATTCGATTGGTGTTTGTAAGCTAGCATTGTTGTTGATATTTATTATTGGCCGTTGAGCGCTTTCTATTTTCTCAGATTCGCATTATAATGTACAAATGTGAATCGCAGATGCAAAATAATATAAAAATTGCGGCTTTCGCATCTCACTGTTTGCATTGTATATTCTACACAAGCGTTTCTCAGACTAAAATTGGGTCGCGTTAAATTTTTGACAGCTCGTGAAATGACAGCTGTCACCTTTTATCAACTGTAAACAAATGTCAGTTGTCACTTTGTTTCAGTTGTTGTTGTCAGTTGTCACATAGTTGTATGTTGGGTCATGCTGCGAAAAGTTTGAGAAACGCTGTTTTATACTATCTGCAGCAACACACGATAGGGCGATTTGCGATCTGTTGTGTTTAGGCTTATTTGTCACGTAATGGCATTGTGAAAAGTGATCCACATTCGTTCGTTTTCACGGTTTCGCGAATACGTACATTATGTCTTGCTCGAAACAGCTGTTCCGCATCTATAGAGGCAACCTTCTTCTTTTCAGACTTTTTTTCTTTTTGTTCACTTGCTCTTATTGCTAAACAGCACCAACTTTACATTCACGCCGATTCGATTATGAAAACTTTGCTCAACGTTTGGAAATACACTGCGATTTGCACATACACACACATTCGCATTGCTCCACCGCAGCTTCGCAAACTCGAATAATTTATTATATTAGTTACGTAGTATCGTTTACTTCTGTCACATTTTGACAGAATTTTACAAAGGTTATTTTCTTGAAAAAAATATCAGGTTTTTGTGGCGACTGTCAAATTTGTAACGTCAAATTGTCAACTGTCACAATTGGTTGGTTATGTTGGAATTATGGAAAACAAATACAATTGTGCTCTGCACTTTCCCGGATCTTTTAAATTTAAATTAAGATCAATGACATCATGTTTACTAAATTATTTCGCAATTATTGCATCGACAGAAATAGTAGTAGCATTAAACCAAGAGCAAATAAACAAACAAAAAAATCGTAACAGCTGTCATTAAGAATCGGTTAAGATTCACGTCATGTACGTGTTTTTATCCTAATGGCCATCGAAGCACGTATGGCAGACGAAGGATGAAAGGAACGACTGGAGAAAGAAAAATAAAATAGAGAAGAAAGAAAGAAAAACAAGTCTCTGCTAATAAAACATCGGCGCTGGGTATTGAATTGCGTTTACGTAACTCTTTCTCTGTACGTGCGCAAGTAATGTGGCGCGTCGATGTGCAGATGGATTCGTTGACCTGAAGAGGCCGAGACGTTCTTCTTTCTTCTTCGTTGCTGATTTGTAACCCTTCTTTTACATTTATTTATTTGTTTGTTTGTTGTTTTTCTGCAGACTGAGCTTAACGAAAGACTGAGACTTCGTCGCACGCGAGGCGACACCAGCGAGGATGACGAGGGTCTGCCGAGGAGTCCCTGCAACTCACCCACTGCCGCCGATGGACACCATCTGGACAAGTCAAAAGTAAGCCACTTAACAATCCGTTAAACACCGTTAAGCTATTAAAGCGAAACCCATTTACGAGCTATAATATTTCAATGGTCAAATCACATTTAGTAGTAGAATATGATGTAATAACAATACGAAACCATTAATATTTGCTGTTTAATTTTTAAGTGGCGACGGTTGCTAAATTTAATTTTTTGTTATGTTATGTTACATCCGCGTTATAATTGACATAAAGCATTTCTGTCAGGTGTACCAATGATTATCAATAATAATTGGTATATCTGACAGATATTTATATGAAATGTCAAGCATGGTGTGAAGTTGGCATTATACAGATCAATTACGTAAAGAACATAAATCCGACAACGCTGCATTATACGACAAAGGCAATTAATGTTATGGCCGCAAAAGGTCACGAGGACGGAAAGGTTAAATGCTCGGGTCGATATGATTCTTTAGAAAACGTAATTACTTCCACTGATTTCCATACCGTATTAACGATCAATTAACAATCCTTGATTAAACGACGTAGATTTGGTTTGTACTATAATTTCATTGCTGAATCATTGATTCCAATAAACTTTAGTTTAAATCACTTATTAGTACAAATTACAGATTGTTATTAAAGTTTAGGCTTCCCAATTAATTTGTTACGTATCGAATTTGTATTTCTAAAGACCAGCAGCTACATTTTCATTATACAGAACTTGGATATCTTTTGATGAACGGTTTCTATGAGTATTTCGAAATAAAAAGCTTTGAATTCAAAATTTGAATGAAAATTTTAAAAATAGATGTCGCCATTGTCGTGGCGTTTTAAAATTTCGCTCTCGCGCGAACGACACAAAACCGTCGACTTTTTGTTTGATTAAACAAAAAGTTCGTCGACAACAAACCGGCAAAATGAAACAAAAGGAAGTAAGAAATGAGAATCAAAGTGGATGCGAGCAGAAGCGGAGAACGTGCAGTTTTGCATATTTTTATTTTATTTTTTCGGTGCTTAACGAAACATAATAGTAATGTAAGAAGAAAATGATACGTAAACGGACTCGGATTTCGCCACTCGTCCCCTAATTAAAATTACGCTGCAAAGTGAAGCGCTCTCACTGTTCTAATTAGCCGGATCCAACGCAATTACTTTAATAGTAATGAAGAGGAAGGAACGCCAAGTTGTTGCTTATTGTTGTGCGAGCGCCAGGAAAGCAGACGCCGTTTGTTGTTAGCGTCGTGATGTAAAAAGTTTATTAAAAAAAAAAACAGCTCTGCTTTTAGTTATTTGCTTGCTCCGGTTTTCTTCCTTTGCATTCGCAGATGTAAAGGTAACCCAGTTTCGCAAAATAAAAGCTAAAATAAGACTAAACGTTTCCATTAGGATGTAGACCATAATCAGAATTGTTAAAGGAAACAAATTTGATGATTTGTGTAATTGAAGACAACAACTAGAAATAAACTGACAGATTGTTTTTCGGTAGATATTTGTTTGTTTTTTCATCGGCGCGTTTTCCCTTCACGCTTGACATTTCGCCGTGTTGCGCAATCACGTTCACGTGCGTCGCCTCATTTTGACTGCGAAAGGTAACCTAATTAGGTCCTGATAATGCTAGCAGCGCCGTAAATTCCACACGGAAATAGAATTATTTACGAGGCCTGAATCGAAAACCTGTAAATATCACACATCCATCGAGAATCAAACTGACATTTTACACGATGACAGGTGTTTAGTATTGTGTAGATTTTGTTACCAACTTTGTTACAAAAGAGAAAAAGTCAATTCTATTTTGTTTAACTTTTTGAGGTGGTACACGCATTGTATCATCTTTTGAACATTTCTAGTGGGGCATTATTATAATTTTCTAAAAAGAAATTACCCTTTAATATGGTTAGTATGACAAGAGATGAATTTTTTGCATCTTGATTTAATGGCAGATACAGTCAAAATTTGACATAATAGATAATATTTTTTAATTTTAAAAGTAGATGGCGTTTCGTATGATTGTATATGTAACCTAGTGAACTAAAAAAAATAAATAAATGATTAAAATTAAAAGTGTTAAGGATGCTGGGCTGTAAATTGAGCAATAATTAAATCGTTTAGTGCGGAGTGGTACAGATGTACTCTTTTAGCCCCTATGTTACGCGTCAAAAGGAAACAAAAGCGAGCAGCGTAAGAGGAGTTAACGCGATTCAAAATATGAATGGCATTATGTATGTACTAGATATAATTTCCATTATTAAGTCAATTGATGGCAATTATTGTAATGAATTCCCGGGTCTTTCGTGTCCATCTGATACCACCCTCCCCTTGTCTTTCCTCTCTAAACACTCTTCAGCGTGCATTAATTGATTGTGTGCTACGTGCGTTTCGGGGCCTAGGCTATTTCCAGCCTAGGCATCGCATGACTAAACTCCGTCGCCGCACCGTCACGATCCTATCCACACAAATACATTTCACTCACCCGTTCATATTTATTATTTTTTTCCCCTTTTATTCGTTTCTTCCTTTCTTCCAAACGTAATATAACGCATCCCGTGTGCTCCAATCGTAACTGTACTTTTACTGCATGATTTACGGCCCAGACCTGGAACACCTACCTCTTTTTTACCTCTCTTCATCCCACCTCCAGTCCAGCCGGCGACTCCACTCGCAATTGCGGTTTTCCAATCTCTTATACTTCTTTTTTTTCCGCTCATTGCAACAGCAAGAGTGAGAAAGACAGAGAGAACTTACGGTCATATGGATCAGAATTTGCATGCGCGCATAACGGTTTTCTAAATAAACCTGTGGCTCGTTGCAAAAGTGAAATTAATTATTTCAAAATTTCCACAATCTCGCAAATCGCATTATCCAAACTACAATTACTATAGCAATGACAACTTTGTTGTAATAATTACAGACGGCAATATTTGTTTAACTTCCATGACTACGATAATTTGTTTATTTAACTTAACGACTCGAACCAATTTTGACTTAATTTGCCGTTGTTCGATTTCGCAAACGTTTGACGCTTGCTTGTCTCATTTACAGTTGTACAGACACCGTACAACCTTTTTTTTGTTTTGTTTTGTATTCCTCAACGCTTACATGATTTAATTGCCGCATTTACACAACTTAATAGCAATAGACACGACTCAATTCGAATGGTAATTAAAGCTTCCTTTATTATATTTATATAATACAATTACGTGATTACATGTTTGTAATCGATTTTCTAATGTATCGCGGCGAATATAGGAAGCGCGCCTCGTAATTGGCACAGAAAAAAGGCTTCTTTATTAAAAATTGCGTAAGGTTTTTTTTGTTGTTGTTGCTGCTTCTGCACTGCTGTTGTTGTTGTTGTGGTGGTAATTAGAAGAGGAGCATTGAAAATGCGAAAGTCAATTGACCGCGTTGCGTAACTCTTTGTTGCGGATCGAAGCATGTTTGTTCAAATCCTACCACCACTTCTTTTCAATTAGTCCGTACTCATTGTCTCCGTCTCTCTCTGGAAAGAGCAAAAAGTGGAAATAATATAATATTGTTTTGTTGTTGCGCTGCTCTTGTTGTTATTATCCGTACACGAACGAGCATTGTTGTTAGAGTTACGTGAAAGTTATTTACCTGAACCGTTTGTTGATGCACTTGTTTTTTGTTCTTCTTGCGCTGGACGCAATAAGCATACACACGTCGTCGCGTTTCCATCGTTTCGTTCACTTTTTTCTTTGTTTCAAGAGTTTACAAAACAGTTTTTGTTTTATTAATTGTTATTATTACCACTAAAGAGTGGACAGTGAAAATGATTCTGGGCGAGATGCTGTATCAATGTGAATATTTTGCCTCGTTCGTTTGTCTCAAGAACATCAAAATCGTGTTGCCTCTGGATGACAAGCAGGTAATAATTTGTGATTGCAAATGTTGCATTAGTGATACCAACATTTAGTTTTTCACTTTCGTACCAATCGTAAACATAATAATACTATTCATATTTTTTCCTTGACTCAAAGTAATTTTATCTTCAATATTTTATTTCACTTTAACTTTTAAAAAGTAAGTGATAAATTTAAATTTAACTTTTTAGTCACATATTCAGTTATACAACCCTAATGACATCTTTATAAAATCCAACTAAGTATAACGATTTTCGATTGTTATAAAAATGTTACCAACTTTTAATTATCAAAAACTTAATATTTTACGATTTTTTTGCAAAACATACAACCATAATAAACAATTAGTTTGTTTTTCATCTGATGGAATAAGAGAAATGCCAACGCTGAATAAATGAATAAAAAGCTGATTGAAATTGAATGGTAGATTGATTATGCAAAAATTACGAAGTGAACGCAATTATATCACAACTCCCGTTGCGTAATTATCGGTTGCGCAACTGATATGTACTGATATTTATATTAACAGTACGGTTTTGTCAGGTAAAAGTATCATACGTGTAATGGTGATTGAATGATGAATAATGATAATCGTCGAGAGCGTGTGTGTTGTAATGGTGAAAAACAAAGTGTGCGCTTTGAATTGTGTAGTCGGTGCGAATGAGTATTAATTATTATGCACTTGACGGGACGCAGGAATGCGGGAGAGCATTTGAATTTGTAATTTTTTTACGCTGACGGCGAGAGCTGTCGGTTCATTAGCGGATCGAAAATGCAATTTGAATAGGAAAACATTAAGAAAAAGTGCACTTTTGCTGCTGTTGCTGCGGTGCATTGCACGAGAGATCGCCGCTTTTGCTAATGAGAATTACGTATGCGCGATTGTGAGCGGAGTATAAATAATTAATATGTTCTCTCATAAGCGTGTAAATATAATTGTTGCTTTACCTTCTTCTCATACAAGTTTTCATACACAGATGTTGGTTACTTTGGTTAATTAGATAATTATGTAATATCATCTTAGGTTTAGGGTTCATAGATCTGTTATTTGACAAAATTTAACCACAAGAAAAAGTGAAATATTTAAAATGTTTGATTTTTGTTATGAATTTTTAATGTAATTCAAACTGATTTTATTGTTGAAGGATCATCCGACGAAATCGCACAGCACCTGCAGCGATGGATCGTTACTCAGCATGGGCAGTTCGGAAATGGATGAGGATTTGTCCATCGGTGGTGGCCAACATTCCAGACACTCCTCGAAGTTGTCTCTGCACGAGAAACGCACCCCCGAAGATGGTTTGTTTGTTAATTACTACGTGTTTTCTTTTGATGTGACATTGTGAAATGTTTATTGCAGAAGTCGTATCAGAATGGGGTCCCAATCAGTCGGCGTCGGCTGCGCCGTTGAACCACAGCGCGGCTCACCACAAGGTAGCAGTGAGGCCGAAGAGAACTCACGGAGCTCCGAGGAGGCGGAGGGTCGCCGGTCCCGTCCTACCGACTACTCCGGAGGTGAACGAAGATTCTTCTGTAAGAAGTATCAGTCCGGAAGGTGGCAACAGCACGAGAGGTAAATAGATCGCTTTGATTTTTTTGTGTTTCGCTGCTTGGCTAAGCATGGCATCTCTCTAACATTGCAGAAACAGTAACAGAGCTTTACAGCAGAGGCAGGCAGACGGCCGTTACCGATGCTAAATTGAAATGCTCATCATTGCCGCCTGGTTTAGCAGGACCCGGTTTGGATGGAAACAAGCTGAGCAGGAGCAGATCGAATGCCGGAGTGGTCAGGTCGCACGACGCGCTCGAGGAGGAGGATTGCGCGGACGGAAAGAAATCCGAAGGTTCGTTCTTCGGTCGCATCTTTCCGCGGCGCAGCGGTAAAAAGAAGAAGGCCAAAGAGCAGAAGGAGGACAAAAAGGAGGCTGTTAAAGAAGAGGCGAAGAAGGTCGAGGTGAGTTGTGAGCCTTTCGAGAAGAACACGATCGTGGTGGACGGTAATCTGGCCATAAGACCCAACGCTCTTCGGTCCGGTCCTGCGTCCAGGCAACGAGTCCAGCCAATCGAAATTCCGGTTGCTGCTGCTGCTGACATACAGGAAGAAACTTCTTCTCCTCTCCACGCCGAACTGGAGAGCCATTTCAAGAGCAAGAGGGTCACTCCCAATCAGCAAGAATCTCCTGTTCCTCTATCCGTATCTCCACCAGCGAGTGCCGCAATAACATCAAAAGTTCCTTGGTCGCAGGAGTCGCGGCAGTATACCAAATTCACCAGCACCAAGTACTCGGAGAGCGTGCAGGAGTCCAAGACGAAGGTGCGCATCGCCGGGTTATCATCGCTCCAGCAAAGGGTTTTATCACTCAACGAAGACGATGCGGAAAACAGCTTCAAGTCGCTCACCAATCTCCCGACGGATAACGAGAAACCGGCTAAACCTTTGGCAAAGTCGCATAGCTTTAAGGCCACTAAAACGAGCTACCAGCAACAAGCCCAGATCACTCTGAACTTGAGAAGTGAAGATAAGGAGAGCCTAATTTTCAAGTCGATCTCTTTGGATAGCGTGCAGAACGAGCGCGTCGTGGAGAGTGTGAACGAAGCCAAAGTCGAGGTCACCGAGAGCAACGACATAACCATAACTGGTCCTAGTCATAACAAAGCTATTGTGAATATTTGCGCCGCTCCGGAGGTCAAGGAGCAGCCTCAACAGCAGATTTCGGTAACCAAGATCCATCTGAAACCTTCCACTGAAGAAATCGTATTAGAGAAGCCTCGGAAGTTCAGTAACGATAGCATCGAATTGGAGGACGAAGACGTGAAGCGCTTCAGCAACGAGCACGTCGAGATAGTCGTTAAGAAAGAGGCGACACCGGTTGTGACCATCACGCCGATGCCCACGAGCAGATACAAGAAGCACACGGAGAGTATGAAACGAGCGCTCGTCGTTTCCGAGAAGCCCGTGCTCAAGGTCAAATCGAACAGCTTCGAGAAGCCCTCCGAACCAAAGACGCCAGAGGAAACGACGAAATCGCAGGAGAACCTGTGCTCGGATTACTCCCAGGTGATCAGAAGGAAATCGATGATCAAACCCAAGCACGACGAGGAGCCCGAGCTGATGAAGGTCTTCGCCAGAAGATCGTTGAAGTTGAAAGACGTGGACAGCGAGGCGATAAGCCAGCAGGTCAATCAGATGGTGCAGGAGAACAGCGAAAGCAAAACGTCTCGGGACAGTGACAAGGAGAACTGCTCGGACTCTTCTCCGTTGGAGGAGCGCAAGAAGCTGAGCGATTCCGTCGAGGTGACATTTCGGAAACACCAGCACACCAACAACAACAAGAACTCCTCCACGCCCATCTACCAGCGCACCGTCAGTCTGCATCAGCCGTCCGTGAAGACTTCAGATGCCAAGCAGATTCTCAAGCAGATCTCGGCCGTTGAACGTCCGAAGACCGAGACATGGATATCGAGCACCAACAACAATAACAACAACAACGGCGGCGGTAAGATGGAGCTCAAGGAACAAATCGACAGCTCCGAGATCATCGCGAACATCTCGGAGAAGAAGAGTGATATTATTACGGAATTCAATGTGATACCCAAGAACTTCAACCAACGCAAGGCGGAATGGGAGAAGAGGGCCAAGGAGGGAATACGGAAGGCGGTTCCGTAAAGTTTCCGCTTCGAAGGAAGGAACGAAAGAAAGAAAGAAATAAGGTAATTACAACATTTACATTTGCAAATTCAAAGAAAACGTCGTGCACCAATTCTCATAGATCGAACAACCTTTCACTCTTTATCCAATTACGAAATTGATTAATAATATTTTGTGCCCAAATTTGATATAACTACAATTGCTGCTTTATTTTTCAGCTTTGAGGATTGCACGATTCTGAACGAGAAGCGTTACTTAGACTATTAATACTAAATAAGTAAATAATCACCATTTTATTATTATTTGTTATGTTTTTTTTTGTACTCTAATTCTTTTTATTTCATATATAAATATTGTAAATAATTATACCTAGTATTATAGATAACATCACCATATACATATTTATAGTTGTATTATATATACTATATATATATACATAATAAAAACGAATATTTTAAAAATACTTTTGCAGTTTTACTTACTCCAAAAAACAAATAATTGAAAAGAAAGATTTTATATTTGGTTGCATATGTTACAAACATTTTAATAACGTAAAAAAATGTTTATAAATTGGTGTAAATAATAAATATTATGTACTTTTACAAAAAAAACATACATTTGTCAAATATATTTAAGATCAACATGTACATGCATCTACTTGATTATTATTTTATTGTTTCTAAAAAAAAACAATTGATTTAAACTAATTAATATTTGGTGCTGAACGTGTGGCGTGGCCACCTCGATTGGGAAAGGTTTGTTTTTGGGAAAGGGATCGAATAAATAGATGTTAAATGAGTATGCATTTTATTTAGGCAATTCATGTTTCATAGAAAGTAAAATTAGCAAGCATATTTATCTTTATTTTATTATTATTTTGCTGTTGCTGTCGTCGATCGTAAACGGTTCTGAGTTTTGGACGTTTTGCCTCGTTCCCAAAAGTTTATTCAAATACAACATCGAATCAATCGTTCGATTTGAAAAATGAAATTTATTAAATTACAAAATTAAAAATAAATAAATAAGAAACGGTTTCTCGTCCAGATTTCATTCACCTCGTCGAAAAGAGAAATAAAGGCAATATTCATGTACGCACATCGAACAAATGTAAGTGCATGAATATTTAACGTAACCGATCATTCTTACTTAAGTGATAAAAACAAAGAAAAAACAAATATAGTACTCGAATGCACACTACAACAATATCATATATTATCATTATATATCTTTTTTTTTTCTTTCTTCATATATTTCATATATATATTTATAAGGAGAGAGTTCGGGTGGTCCTTCGGCTCTCTCCATCCGATTCGTCTTTCTCCGAGTTCCAACAAATACTTTTTGCATACAATTTATAAAAATATTCATCAATTACACAAACAGAAAAAAAAAATATTAAAAAACATCGACAAAAAAATAAGTTTAGATTCTCTCGAGAACACAAGAAATTGTCTTCTAAAGATGTGTCGTGTTGTTGTTGTTTGTTTAGTGTACGGTGTTTGTTTGTGTGTTTGTTTTTTTGTTGTTGTTGTCAGTGTTGTTCACATCCTACGTTACTCAACCAATAGTATCTACAAGGGGCGGGACGCCTAAACGACAAACACGAAACAAGTAACCAAGGCGACGAAACAATACTCAATCCCAGCGATTCCTCGATTCATCGTTCTTCTTCATTTTTTTTTGTTTGTTTTTGTTTTGTTAGTATTATACATAGGTACGTACATGAAAGGCTTATTTACAAATTCACCTGGATAGCAAAAGTTATATTATATATATATATAATTTATATATTTATTTTTTTTTTGTCAAATATTTTAGTTTATCTTCATCATCATCGCTTCGCTCTCGTCCTGTGATTATCTAGGGAGCACTAAAGTGCGCAACGAACAAACGAACCTTAAACTTAAAGTACTTTCGAGATGCCTAGTATTAATTTTTATATATGTATATTCAAAGAAGAACACAAATCAAACGGATTTACATATACATAATAATAATAATAAGATTTGTTTGTTTTTTTTTTCCCTTTTCTTTTGTTTTTGTTTTTTTTTATATATATATACAATTGTTAATGTAAGCAGTCTCAACAGCCTTAAGAATTATTTACAGATTAGTAAACTGGTTTTCATAATTTATTTTTTTTTTCTGTCATTCATTACATAATGCTATTAATATTATTATTTTTTTCAATATATTTTTTGTTTTTTTGGTGCTTAGCAAATTGCCATATATTTAGATAGATAAATAAATAAATAAATACAAAAGAAACGTCAATCTATAAAATATCTTAACAAAGTATCATTATTTAGTTTTATCAATAATATTAAGTGTTTCATTCACGTAATCTCTTATTATATTCATTACATAATTTTTTTTTTGTCTGTCGCGAAGAAAATTGTATTTAATTTTAAGTGTTTTAAGGCTTCGAAGCACATTTACGTTTAGCTTTTTTTGTGTTGTAAAATTTCTCTCGAAAATAAAATAATAATTAATATAAAATTAAAGATTCACTAGAAAATTGTACTCTCCTCCGCCCGCCATCGCGTTTTTCTTTTATTTTTTCAATTAATTAATTTATTATTCTCACGTCCAACTACGATTAATTTAATTATTATTCTTATTAACTCCTTCTTTCTTTTTTTTTGATTAATACATTTAATTGTACAACACTATTGAAGCATTTCAAATGAACCCACGTACTTAAGAGAATTAGTATTAGTACTTAGTTATGTGTATGTGTGTTTTTCTTTTGTGTGTGTATGTGTATTTGTGTGTGTCTGTGAGAGAGAGAGAGAAAGATTGATTGAGAGTGTTAAAAATCGCAATATCTGTGTTTGTTTTTTCCTCTTCTTCTTCTTGCTTTTGTTTTATGCGATTCTTTGGGATCCGATGCAGAGGGTCTCGACGGAGAGCCGGAAGATGCACGGGGATTGGGGTGGACTTAGCTGGCCGAGTCCCATCTGGCGATCTGGAGACGTCGCGAGTCTAGGGTCGGCGACAGAAGGGATCGAAGTTCTGCGGATGGTGGACTCGTACTGAAATACTTCATGGTGAGGGGCGACTGCAAATGTTTATGTCTTATTACCTCTCGCTCCGCAGGCAGTGGCCATAGTTCCTGAAAATCACATATAATATTTGCAATTGAAGATAAGTGTTGTTGTTGTTGCAATTTACCTGCAGAGACTGGGCTTCATCTCAGGATTCGGTACTTTTGCTCTTGCGCCCGGTGATTGAACCGACGATGGACTTGAGGGCGGCGCCGAAGCTCTTTCCCGGAGTGTGCAGATTCGATTGGCTGCGGCCCAGACCCTGCGGATGAGCGTCCAAGCACTTCTGGTATCGCAGCTTGCAGGCGGCTTCTATAGTTTTGCAGAGGGCACCTGACGATGGCTCGCAGTGGAAGATGTGCGCCACGAAGGTGTCCTGAGCGGTGTGCATGATGAACGCGCACTGCTTCACGTTCTTCCCGATGCCGAGGAACGAGAGGTAACGAACCCGGCACTCTGTGATCAGCTTGTCGTCGCTCGGTTGCAGGATGCTGATCATAGACGGTGCGACTGCGACGTTCACCGATTGCCACTGATCCTGCGGCACGGTAGTCACGAGCCTCTCGATCGCATCGTTCAACACCTCCATACCAGTGGCATTACCCACCTGCAGACTCCCCAGGTACTGCGCCCGGAGCACCTTCTTCGGCTCTTCCATCGGAGTAGGGAAGGATTGTGCTAACATCGCAAAAAAAAAGTACAAAGAAATTAACACAAATTTAATTGTTAACTACCACATTGTGTTTTACGGAAGTAGTGAAGATACAATATAACTTTTATATGGCTTGAAAATATTACAAATAATGAAATACTAGTTTTTCATGTTATTCTAAATCAAAATGATTTAATAAGACTTCAAACTTAAGTAAGTTTTGTTATGTGAAGTCAGTGGTAGGCAAAGTGCGGCTCCAGAGCCGCATGTGGCTCTTTGGCTCCTTAAGTGCGGCTCTGGCACAAATTCGGGTTGTCTGCCCCCAGAAAATTTTTTGTGGACGCCTATGGACTGAGTGAAAAGTCAAATATCTTACGTCAATTATAACCTTTAAACGTTTAAATTTTTCTTATACAGTTTTTTAATGATATTGAAGCAATTTATTGCTTATTATAAAACCTATAGCACTTTTTCCTAGCAAGTATAGAATTGAATGAAAATTTCAATATTTTTCCCACAATTGTT